AAGGAATATGCATTTCCTATTATGTTTTAATCTGATTATTTCCCTTTATCCTAAGAAACATCATCTCTTTCAAAGTGCATGCATCATCTCTTCAGAGGCTCTGTCTCTCTGTCCTTCCTTTCTGCTTCAAGAAATACATGCATTTTCTCCTCTAATCTATAGCAGCAGTTTGGAGTAGAAAAAATGACATAAAATGGTTTTTTATGGAGAAAAAAATTACATACCCTTTTCTTCTTCTCCGTTCCTTTCGTCTTCTTGGCAGAGGAATCTTCCCAAATGCTCCAACTCACTAGGTGAATTTGGGCAAAAGAAGAGGAGAGGAGGTGCTAGAAGAAGGTTCTTACAAATGAACCTTTGTCTGCCTTGTCTCTCGTCTGAGATTGACAGACTTGCTGCTCCAGCCAGGACTTGGGGGAGGAAGAGAGTGGAAGGAGACAGGGCTGCAAGAACTGCCTCCCTTGGATTCTTCCAAACCAGGCGAGACTGAACTAAACAGTTTCTTTACAGAGGGAAATAACTAGTCTATACAAGAACTTCAGGGAGGCAGACTCTTGGAGTAATAAAATATGAAACCTGAGGGACTTAAAAAGAACACTGAGTGATTTTTACCTTGAGAGCAGTATGTGTGTGGATTGGGGTGGGGTGGGGCAGGAATGGAGTGAGGTGGGGGAGAAAGGAGGAGAGAAAAAGACGGAGAGGAGAGGGGTAGTTAACATTATTTAGAAAGACAGCTGATCATCTTTTCTTCTTTCACAAGTTCTTGTGTGTGTGTGTGTGGATGTGTGTGTGTGTGTGTGTGTGTTTATCAAGTTTTCCCTACCATCTAGATTTCTTATAACATTTTGGTAGAAGCTGTATTCCAATTCATTGTGTGTGGATGTGTGTGTGTGTGTGTTTACCAAGTTTTCCCTACCATCTAGATTTCTTATAACATTTTGGTAGAAGCTGTATTCCAATTCATAGTCTATCCTCCCAGCTTCTCACCCAAAGAGTCATTACCAATTGGAAAGCAAAAATAAATGACTGAAAAAGAAATCTATTTTGTGTCTGAGAAATAAAGGCACAAAAGGAATTTCATTGTTTTGAGCAAACTGTACTGGAATACTAGCATCTGTTAACATTTTTTAGTTTTTGTTTTTGTTTTTTTTTCCTTTTTGTCTTTTTTACTGACTGGTAATGGGATCGCAACCCTTGGTGTCACGTTTCCTTTTTGTCTTTTTTACTGACTGGTAATGGGATCACAACCCTTGGTGTCACGCCCGTACCGGGGACCGGCAACGGGATTGCAACCCTTGGTGTTGCACCCGCACCGCGCTCAGCCAGTGAGCGAGAACCGGTCTCCACATGGGATCCGAACCCTCGGCGGGAGCGCCGCCACACTCCCAAGCGGCGCACTCTCCAGTGCGCCACTGGGCCGGCCCATGTTTTTGTTGTTTTTAATTTCAGTTAGGGGTAGTGTTCTGGGGATTAGACATATTATGATAGAGTAGGAATTAGGAATTATCTGGACATAAAATGGAGGAAAGGGCACTTCAGATTGTATCAATAAAGGCATGAAGGCGAAGGAGAGGGTGACAACTTGTGGATCACAGGTAGTTGTATTGGATGCAACCAGAAAGGATAAGAGGTGAAATTAGATAGAAGCAAGTTTATGAAGTACCTCATAGACCATGCTAAAAATTTTGGATTTTGTCCTGAAAGTGAATGGAAAGATGATGAAAACATATTAAAAAGGATGAACCCCAGACTTCAGTTTGAAAGAAGGATGGTGTGTAAAGAAAGAGACTAGAGACAGGGAGAACAGAGGCTCCTACAGTAATCCAGAAGAGAAGATAGTTAGTAAGCAAAACTGAAAGGACTTGATGACCAATGAGTTCTTTATGTTTAGAGTAGAGATAGTTGAGAGAAGGGAAGGAGACTCTATTAACTTTCAAAAGCTTGGGCCTTTGGAAGAATGGTGCTGCTATTCACCTAGAAAGAGAATACAAAAGTTTCAGCTGGAGCAGGAGTAGGAAAATAGAAATGAGTTAGTGGTGAGTGTTCAGTTTAAGGAGCCGTAGGTGCAATTGGGAATGTTTATCAGGCAGTTGTTTAAATGGACCTGGAGCTCAGGAAAAAGTCTTGTCTGAAGAATTAATCAACTAAAAATCTACTAAATATCCAATATTATCAAGTGCTGGTGTTCTGTTGCACAGTATGGTGACTATGGTTAACAGTAGGTATTGTATATTACAAAATAGATAGAAGAGAGGCTTTTGAATGTTCTCACCACAAAGAAATGATAAATGCATGAGGTGATGGATTCATCAACTACCCTGATTTGATCATTATAAAACATATATATGTATCAAAACATTTAATTGTACCCAATAAATATGTATAGTTACAATGTATCAATTGAAAAAAATTAAAAGTCAACTAAATAACTAATAGAGTTAGTTATTCAACTAAATGATAATTGAAGCCATGGCTGTACTGCTTAAAAGCTGCTGCACTCTTACTGTGTGCCAGGCGCTTCACGTCTTAACTCCTTATGACCCTATTAAGTAGGTACTAATATTAGTCCCATTTTATAAATATGGAGACATCAGAGATGGTAGGTAAATTTCCTAAGATCACACACACAGCCCAAAACATGGCAAGACCCTGGCAGTGTCGTTCTAGTGCCTATGCTTTTCACCATTATGCCATACTGCCTCTCAGAATAGATTACAGAGAAGAGAACAGGGCTGAGATCAGAATCTTAGGGACCACTGGTATTTAAAGGATGGGTAGATAACTAGAAGGGCAACTGATAAGGGATATCCAAAGAAGTATGGAAAAAATTAGGAGAGTGTTGTCATGGGAGTCAAAGGAAGAATATTTCAAGAAGAACGGAGGTGAATGGAAGGCCCTGGTGACAGCAGTTTTGGAGAAGCCATACGTGAACACTCCGATATGCAGGTAGGTAGAGTGAAGTGAAAGTCACCAAAACCAGAAGTAGTTACCAGTCCTAAGAGAGCTCAAACCTTTGCTTAATCTCCATTTTATTGAAGCTGGAGCAAGTGGCATGGACTCCAGGAAAGGAGATGGAGGTGCGTGTGCAACTGACTGCACATTTCCTTTGCGTATTTATAAACGAGTCTCTTGTGATCCTTACAATAAAGTTTATGCCACAGATGGGATTAATTTGTTTGTATGATTTAAATATACGGAAATATATGGGTATGAGGAGGAAAATCAAATGACTTCATTCCATCTTAAGAGCTATCCACCTTGTTGACCTCGTGTAGATCTGGACCAGAATATAGTGCCAAGGCAGATCCATATTCCCTGTAGATAGATCCTCTCCTTCCTCTTTGTTTTGCTCTTATTTCTCTGTGTGTCTAATTATTTTTTCATTTCCCTTATTGTGCTGTTCATTTTGTCTCCTTGTATTTGAATTCACAGCTGCTCAAAATAGTTGATTCATTTTTATATTCAGCAATATTCAAATCTGTGCAATATGTTTGCATTGTGTTTCTCGCATGCTGGCTTCAAGTGGTACACAGCAGCTCTTGGTGATGGTCTAATCATCTCTGGATCACATTCTGAGTCACTTAGTAAAGTTTTCCCTAGGAAACACATTTGGACCCCGGCTTCCTAGTTCCTTGTGCTCTCAAATGTTTATTTATTACCACCTGAACTTCCCATAATTTCTAAAGAGAATTATTAAACATTGTTAAATTTAAAACTGCTTGCTGTCCTTCCTTTCCAACTTGGGCCTGGCAGAATGGCTCCTGCAAAGAAGGGTGGCAAGAAGAATAAGGGCCATTTTACCACCAATGAGGTTGTGACTCAAGAATACACCTCAACAGTCACAAGTTCACCCATGGGGTGGGTTTCAAGAAGTGTGGCCCTCAGGCACTGATAGAGATCTAGAAATTTGCCATGTAGGAAATGAGGATTCCAGATATGTGCATTGACACCAGGCTGGACAAATCTGTTGGAGCCAAAAGAATAAAGAATGTCCCATATCATATCTGTGTGTGGTTGTCCAGAAAAAGTAATGAGGATGAAAATTCACCAACAAGTTCTATTCTTTGGTTACCTATGTACCTATTACCACTTTCAAAAATCTACAGTCAATGTGGATGAGAACTAACTGCTGATTGTCAAATAAAGGTATAAAACCACCCAAAAAAAAAAAAAAAAATGCTTGCTGTTGCTATTCATCCTTATATCCATTACAAAGAGTTGTCTGTTTGAGAAGCAGTTGAATTGCACATCAAGGCCTGCAATAGGCGAATCTGCCCTTGTGATTTTTAATTCGGTGCTCAAATCTGAAACCACTATTTGTTTTCTTGAACATAGAGCTTTAAGGCATTTTTGATTTCTCTCCTGATGGGCTGTTACTCAGGCCTCTTGATGAACCCTGCTTTATGTTGCTCTGGAGACCACCTGTCTCTTTGAGACAGCCTCAGGAACCTCCCAAAGTGAACCTTGTAAATGACATAGAGCCTATATTTTAAGTAAGGTGATCCAAATATAGTATCCAGATTTCTAGATGATATGTCCAACTATATTTTTATATTTTTATGTGATGATGTGTGTGCGTGTTTTATTCATATAGATACATGTTGTCACTCTTAATCAGGTCCAAATCAGGTTTATTAAAAATAGAAAATCTTTACAAATTAGTGATAGAACCAATTCATGAGTGGAAAAACATTTTACGTAGAACTTAAACAATTGTGTTCAAAGTACTGGTATTAAGTTTGAAAAGCGATCTAATTTGTATTTCCTAAAAAACAAACAAACAAACAAAAAACAACAGCAAAGTCCTTCCAAACAGATGAAGTCTCAGGAGATATATTAGATATAAATAATCTCAGACATTGGACATCTTAGGCTTTTGGAAAAAATGAGAACACACATAAACTCTTCCTCTGAGTTCTACCTGGGAGCTCACGCATATTCCCTGATTTAGAATCTTCTGTTCTTCTGTTCTATAATTGACCCCTTTCTCTCATTTCCCTCAGGCTTAAATCCTTCTGGAATCACTGAGGCTGGCAGTGTGGGGTCAAACAGCAACTGGTTTCAACCTTCACAATTCCGATCCGCCCAGAAGAGAGGTAGGACTTATTTTATGTGAGTATCCTTCACAAAAGAAGTTTCAAAATAATTATGCTAATTGAAAATGAATTCACAATATGTTTGTTGAAATAATGAGTTACAGACAAAATTAACTTTTAAAACTACCTTTAAAATCTTTCATCAGTTAAAAAAGAAACAAGCTGTTTTATGAACTTTATTTTTGAACTCAGTAAAAGAGTTTTCTTTTTCATTAAAACTATTTTAAGTTTCCCTTAAGATTTCCACTGAACCTGGAACGTTTGTGCTTAGAGTGGTTTTTACAACTGAGTTGAACAATATAACCTCTATTACCCAAACTTAGCTTTATGCCACTGAAGTAGCCACTGAGCTTAAGAAAACAGACTCCACTGAGGAGTCTCAAGTGAGGCCCTTGAGGAGACAGCAGAATTACCACGTAGCTGTGTGTATAATGTTGAACTGATGTTACATAACTACAGGAAGAGAAATATTTCTAAGGGGCATCGTATTGGAATGCAGTTTTGATGATATGATGTAGTTGGGAATTGCCAGGACTCCCACATGGGCAGCCCTGGCTATAATGGTGATAGTAGGGAGAGTCTTCTTGATTGAAAGCTTTTAGTCAGAATAGCAAACACATGCCCTGTTTTATGTGGGCATAGAGGGAAGGCACCCTGGGAGTGCTGGACTCTGTCACAGAATTTATACATAGAAGTTGTGAGCACCATGAGTAACACGATCTTTAAATACAACTGAAATAAAGTCAGAAAAATGAACATCGGGAGAAAAGTGTGTCAAGGAAAACTATCCAGTTTTAGGAGCCTATGGAATATTTGGAAGGAAGGAGAAAGTTAACATGAAAATAAATTTGAGGGCCGGCCCGGTGGCGCACTGCTACAGTGCGCCGCTTGTGAGCGCGGCGGCACTCCCGCCAAGGGTTCGGATCCCACATACAGACTGGTTCCCACTTACTGGCTGAGCGAGGTACGGGTGCAACACCGAGGGTTGCGATCCCGTTGCCGGTCCCGGTCCGGTACGGGCGCGACACTGAGGGTTGTGATCCATTGCCGGACACGAAAAAAGAAAATAAATAAATAAATAAGTAAATAAATTTGAGCAGGAAAAGAGGCCAAGAAGAAAAGGAACTTGAAAATAATCTCTTGAGTTTCCTGGCAGTCTAAAGGAGCATTGGACTGGCAGTGCATAGAATCACAGCCCAGATCCCAGAAATACTTTTGTGGTTTGGGAGACAACCCTACTTACTTATCAAACCTAGAAAGATGGAAAGATTGAGTAAGTGTGCCAAAGTGTGTTCTTCTGTAGGTCCTGAGATACTGCCTTCATCTTCACAAAGTTGTTCCAAGCTTCAAGTGTCTAGTTGGTTGATAATATTAATGATAATAGTAATGACACTAGTAATAATAATATTAGCTGCCCTTGCTAGTGTGCTAAACACTTCATTAATGTCTTATTTAATCTAAGCAACTTACTCTTATGGAGGTAGTTTCCAGATGGGGAAATGAGGTTCAAAAAGGTGAGGCAACTCGGCCAAGACACATAGCTCATAAGTAATGGAACGCAAACTGGAAACCAAGACAAAACCATGCTCTTGCCTAATAATAACAAATTGTAAAAGGAATAGAATGAGAGGCTGAAGAATCTAAAATAACAATACTTTTAAAAAAAGTTGTAGCCCGCCATTTGAGTGTGACTGAACCATGCAGGCTCTCTGTGAACTATACAGCCATCAGCCTCATGATGTGCCTCCTTAATCTATTTTCTGTTAACACTTGGCTTGAAACAATTCTTACCTGGACACTAAGAAACTTAAATCAGCTGAATGAAGTTTTCTACAAAGTCAGATATGGAAAATTGCCTAAATGTTAGTCCTTTGGATAGAGTTTCTAAGTTTCATAAGTGATTATGATTCCAGGAGTAAAATTACAGTGTCAGGCACTCAGTAAATATTTGTTAAATGAATGAATGAGTTAATGAATACATGAGCGAATGGATGAGATTCTTGGGTAGAAGACAGGCTCTTGGGAATTATTCATTCAATAATTATTTGTTGAGTGTCTCCTGGGCCCCATGAGTGATGTTGTCGTGTCACTGAATACTGAGTTCAGCAGCTGCCACCACTCTTTCCTCAAGGCTATTTGGCAGGCTCGGCTACCAAATCCTACCATAAATCTGTTTCTCCCTTGTAAAATAAGGGGTTTAATGGGTGATTTTTATAGCCCCTTCCATTTCCCATTTTCTATGAGTATAATATTCTAAATATCTTTTTTAAATAAACTTTTTTGTTTTAGAATAGTTTTAGATTTACAGAAAATTGCTAACTTAGTACAGAGACTTCCTATATGCCCTCCATCCCGTTTTGTCTATTAATTTAATTCTTACATTAGTGTGGTACATTTGTTAGAATTAATGAATCAATATTAATACATTATTATTAACTAATGTCTATACTTTATTCATTTTTACATAGTTTTTACCTGATGTCCTTTTTTCTGCTCTGGGATCCCTTCCAGAGCGCCACATTACATTTAATTGTCATGTGTCCTTAAGCTCATCTTGGCTGTGACGGTTTCTCAAACTTTACTAGTTTTGGATGACTTTGATGGTTTTGAGGAATACTGGTCAAGTATTTTGTAGAATGTCTCTCAATTGTAGTTTGTCAATATTTGTCTAATGATTAAACTTGGGTTATGTGTTTTTGGGAAGAAGACCACAGAACTGAAGTGCCATTTCTATAACATCATATCATACATGTACATACAAGCCATGTACATACTATAAACATGAATTGTCACTGTTGATTTTAATCTGGCTGAGGTAGTTTTTGTCAGGTTTCTCCACTGTACCCTGGCTTTTTTTCTCCCCCTTTCCATACTACACTCTTGGAAGGAAGGAAGTCACTATGCACAGTCCACACTTAAGGAGTGGGGAGTTATGCTTTACCTCCTTGGGGGCAGAGTAGTGACATACCTTTTTTGAATTCTTCTGCCCATGAGATCTGTCTGTTCTCCCTCATTTGTTTACTTATATCAGTATGAACTCATGAATATTTATTTTATATTTTGGATTATAATTCAATATTACTTTAAAAATATTTTTGTTACTCTAATTGTGCTAGCTTTGGCCATTGAGAGCTCTTTTAGTTGCCTCTTGTATCTTTTTGATATATTCACACCAAAGTGGTGGTTTTTTGTTTTTGTTGTTTTATTTTTGATGATTTCTTGCTTTCTGGCACTACAAGATACTCCAGGCTCTTCTTGTTTATTTCCTGTCTCAGTCCTAGAATCAGCCATTTCTTCAAGGAGCCTTGGTTCCTTTTATTGGAGAATGGATTGAAAACCAAGATCTGGGTGCTAGGTGTGCTCATGGGTACTGGTGTATCATAGCTTCTAGGCCTTCTCAGCTGACAACGCAAGGAAATATATATGTGTATACTAACCTGTGTAAGCACACATATCTGTAAATAGTTCTACGTGTAACAATCTGTATCTATGCCAACCTAAGCATGAGTTTAGGCCTTCTCAGCTGACAACGCAAGGAAATATATATGTGTATACTAACCTGTGTAAGCGCACATATCTGTAAATAGTTCTACGTGTAACAATCTGTATCTATGCCAACCTAAGCATGAGTTTATAGTGATGTCTCCAACTCTAATACATTACTACAGGAATCATTTTAGACTCCTCTCCTTGTTTATCTGTAACCTCCCATTCCAGCAGTGAGAAACCTGACTCCCACTATCCACCATTTATTTAATTATTCAATTCTAGTATACATGTATGGCAGTGTCAGAATTGTGAACCCATACCCCATTTTATTACTTTAATTTTATTTATTTTAATTTTACCAACTAGTGCTTATATATAGTGTCTTTTGCCTTTAGCTTAATTGACTCCACTCATTTCCAAAGTTATATAGGTTAGCATTTTTCCCCCTACTTTACCTTTCAGTGAGGTTGCTTCATGTATTTGTAATACAGCTATACTGTTTTATCACATTCTTCATTCCCTTTTGAGATTCCCCAATCTCCTAAATAAATGTTTTTAATCTGCATGCATTAAGGTTCAGTCTTTATGCTGTAAAGGTCTATGGGTTTTGACAAGTGCATAGTGTCATGTATTCACCATTACATTATGATACAGAATAGTCTCATCACCCTAAAACATCTCCTGTGTGTCACCTATTAGCCCTTCTCTGTCCCCTCCCCTAGCCCCAAACACCTGGCAACTATCGATCTTTTTATCTTTTCTAGGATGTTGTATAATTAGAATCATATGGTATGTGTCCTTTACATACTGGTTTCTTTCATTTAGCAATATGTATTTAAGATTCATTCTTGTATTTTCATGGCTTAATAACTTATTTCTTTATATCATGGAATAATATTCCATTGTATAGATACACCACAGTTTGTTTATTCTTTCACCCATTGAAGGACATCTTGGTTGCTTGTAGTTTTTGACAATCACGAATAAAAGTGCTATAAACATTTGTATGCAGGTTTTGTGTGGGCATAAGTTTTCAAGTAAGATGGCCAATATCTTTGATTTTTCACGTTCATTGAAATTATTAATTTGTAATCATCTAGCCTTTATATGGCTTCTCAAATAATAAACACATTTGCATAATAAATCTGTCCAGAATCAAGCACCATTTTGAATAAAAGTATAAACAATGAATCCATAATTATTTAATATAATAAGAGAACAATTTTATATACAATTTAAAATCTTCCTTTAAATACGGGGCAATTTAACAGTATTTACATTTAATGTTCCTTGAAATATGAACAGGCTTGATGTCTACCAAGGCTTGCTTTCACATCATAAACATGGAAATTTGTAGGTGTTAAGTTAGCTGCAAAATTGTTCCCTTATTGCTCCTTCACTAATAAAACATATTAAAAATCACATGTTTGGAAATCCAAATAAAAGCATTTGCAAGTTGAAATAATAAATACAATACAGTATAAGATGACTAAAATCAGCTCCCTTGATGTGTATACATATGAGATAGGACACATGAAATGTCAAGAAATAGTGAGCAATGAAGATATTTTCCCTGGATATTTCATCTCTGAACACATGATATGTATAATCCTATTAAAACATAACTTGTCATTCCATAGGATGTGGGTATGCATTAGAGTGGGAGTCAAATATGTCCAATAAAATCTAAAATATAATATATTATAATAATTCTACAAAAAATTGTTTTCTATAACCCTGTCTATTACCCTATCTTCTATCAAATGGCAAGTTAGTCTTTGCCTTTGATATTCTAAAGGAGTCTCCTTTGGGGCTGAATTAACAAAAATTGCCCCCAGATGGTTACCCCTAGAATTTTCACTATTTTTCCCCACTGTATCCAAGCAACTGGTGTTGATTGGTCCATAATGACTCAAGTATCAAGTGTCAATATCCTGACATCAGAAAGCCTTAATAGTGTTAAATAGTTCATATTGTGTCTATGGTTTGTTTTTCCTTAAGTAACCTGATATAAAATATTTGAGAAATTGGAGAAGGCCAAGTATCAGTGAGAACAAGAGGCTTGGGAATTTCCTACTAGTTCAATGTATTTCTCCTCTCCGTAGAAATTATGACCTTTTTAGTGTCAGAAAATTAACAAGTCAAAGCTATCTCAGCAAATGCTGGGACCTTCTTTCCTGACCTAAAATGTTCTGAGATTTCTTCATTAGGAGCCTGTCTCACTGAGAAGTGAGGTCTGGTTTACCAAGAAGCCTAGAAGATTTTAGGGCTTTATTCTAGTAAAAGAAATTCAGGAGAGAATTCCTGGGAGTCTGATTCTCTCTGAAGCAGACCAGACCTTATGATACATTAGATGGGAGCTTCTGGAGATAGATCACGTCCCTTTCAATATGCAAAATTATAACAGGGAAAGTCTTCCTTCCACCTCTTCTTTCATTGCCCCTTCCCCATCTGATAGGGGGGCCTCAGATGCTTAGTTACCTCCAATATCCTAGAATCTCTTTTTATCTATCTTTTGCTCTTTCTCTATCTTTAGCTCTCTATCCCTCTTTCTATCCTCTGCTCTCATTCTATGCTCCATATCCTTCCAGATTTTAACTGTCTCTCAAATAGGAAGAAATCTGACAAACAACCTGGGGCAAACTATTTCTAACCAACGATTTTTGAGTCCTAACTTCCCAGAAACATTTGTAGTGATTTGGAACTTTTGGTTTTTAAGCTAGAAAAGCAGGAAGATAAACCAAGAAGTGGACCTCCTGGATCTGCTTTGATAATTCCCTTAATACTCTTAGTTATGTCAATATAAGGTGAGTAAGTATACATGTCTCTGAGGAAAGGACATTTTGTGGCCTTACAAAGGTTGTTCTTTTCAGTATCCACCTGATATGCCAAATTAAACTTACTTACAGCCAAGGATCCTGGAGGAAAAGGATCAAGACCCTATCCCTTTCCCATTTGAGATTCAACTTAATTATAACATTCTGAAGGGCTGAGAGAGCCCTGACTGCAGTCCCCCAAGAAGAATGGAGTCTGGCTCAGTGACTGGCTCAATACTGGGGCTTAGCAGATTTGGGGGGACATTTTGTTCTAGACTCTGTGTGTGGCTGTGTTTAGAAATGTAATTATACCCAGCCACCTTGCCAAAACTGTCATGTGTGAGGAACAGTGGCTAATTGTATGAGTGTAAATCCCATAAATTTTCATCTTGGGAGTCCATGTGTACAGTGCCACCCTGCTGCCTGCCCAGGGTTCTGCCGCAGCAGGGACAACCCTAGAGCAGGACAAGGACTCTCTGGAGCCTGTTGGAGCCAGTTTTTAACAGTGACATCATGTAGAAGTGATGATTAAACCAGGACCTGTTAATGGACTGATCAGTTTTTTCTACATGGGACTCTGAAACAAGACTATCCTTTTGGTCTAAGTTCCCAGGGTCTCTGGACAATTGAGTCCTTAAAAAAGAAATACTGAATTACCTACAATATGGAGAAATGGAGGCTTGAGCAAGTAATTAGAAAAATGAAGAGTGATGCCTACATTTTGAATCCTAAACTGGTGAAGATTCATACAGATTATATTTAATATGCTAGTTCACTGCATATTAAGCTCTAAGAGCTTAAGTGTTTGCTAAATTTGTTTGACCATACAACTTTTGTTTTGTTTTTTTTTAACTATCTCGAGGGACTGGATTCCAAGGAACACTTATTGGAAAAAGCTTCTCAAATGACAGAATTTTAGATACAAGGTCAGGACAAAGGAACAGTAAATTTGAGGCAGGCTCTTTCCTTGAACCCACCCATATGGTTGCTTAACAGTCTCTGAGTAGACTTGCTCCACAGTTCTGTAGTGTTAGCCACAAGGTTCTAGTAACTCTAACCCAAGGAGGGCAGTGTGCAGCTAGAGGGTTTTGAAATGGGATTCCAACTTTCTCCTTGGCTCCATCTATCATTTGCCCTTGGATAACAACTACTACATTCAATTGCTTATTGGCTAATTAATAAGAGTAGAGATTTTTTGTTTTATTTTCTTATGTATCCTCAGTGCCTAGAAGTGTCTGGCACCATTTTGGTACTCAATAACTATTTGAATGAATGAACTTCTGTCCTGGGAAAGTTACTAAAAATCTAACTTAGTAATTTCTTTTCACAGTTTGTACCTTGTGGCTGCAGAGCAGGTACCTATTGAAGATCCAGGACGCATGAGAACATGAATGCCTAGAAATTCTTGACTAGGTTTGGTAAGCCCAATCCCGAGCAACAAACAGTAAATAACATTTCATTTGTAGATCAAGTGAAATCCATCTTTTCCCAAGTCAGATCAACCGGGAATGGGGTGCAGGGGTTTAGTGAAGCTATTTCAAACCATACTGGCTGAATCGCTATCCCCCTAGTTCCAAATTTCCAATCTGAGGATGATATACAACATATTTAGCAACCTGTACGGCAGCATACATTTTATAGATAAATGTATTTCTATACATCAGAATAGAAAAAATTTTCAAAATTTCAATATTTCAAAAATATTTTCTTTCTATTCTCTAAATAAACTAAGCTATATGTCATGAAACTACTTACAGTGTAATATAACTTATAAGGCAAAATGTTCAATAAATTATTCTAATAATTTCTAAATCATTATTGATTTTTAGAAATTATTGGTATGGTCTTATATTTGATATGCTCTTACTAAACTAAATGCTGCTTGTCTCTAAGCTATGATTTTATGGAGAAAACTGTTCCAACCCCTTCCAACAACTTCATTATATTGATTGTTATTAGGTCTGGGACCAGGCACTTCCTTCACCAAGAGGGTGATTGTGTGGACTGCCCCGTGTGTCCTGGATTCTAGTGCTTCTCACGTAGCCTGCCCCTGGAGGGCCTTTGCTTCGGCCTCCATCTACAACACTGTCACAGGCCCACCTGTTCCACCACCCCTGCCAATTCGAGCCCCTCCTGAGCAGCAGGTAGGCACTGCATTTGTCTCAGCTTCTGCCTTGGTCTTCTCAGCTCATGCTGCAATGTCCAGGTGCACCAGTCCCAAGTCCCATTACCACCTATGCAGGGGCCACTGGATTATGTCATTTTGTGACGTGGTCTACCTTAAGCTACTTACCAACCATCAGGGCAATATTTCTACATTTTAACCTGCATTTTTTTTTTTTCCTTTTTTTGTCTTTTTTACTGACTGGTAACGGGATCGCAACCCTCGGTGTCACGCCCATACCGGGGACCGGCAACAGGATCGCAACCCTCGGTGTTGCGCCCGCACCACGCTCAGCCAGTGAGCGGGAACTGGTCTCCACATGGGATCCGAACCCTCGGCGGGAGCGCCGCCGTACTCTCAAGCGGCGCACTCTCCAGTGCGCCACCGGGCCGGCCCTTAACCTGCATTTTAACACCATGTCAGGGTGTATTGGCTGAATATCATCTATGGCTGAATCCTTCTGAGTAGTTCAAGAAAGTCTCAAAGTTTTCTCCTACATATGTTAGAACAAGGCCACGCATGCTGTATTCTTCTATCTCATGATGTCCACTATTTCTTTTATGCCTCTCACCTCCATAAAATATTTATGTGTTGATTCCTGGAAGCAGCAACTGCTTTTGCTTTACTTCTTATAGTCATTCGAGTGGTGTTGCCCTTGCTGATACTCTGTCTCTGAGCTGAAGCAAGAGAAAATCACCTCCATTGGCCTGAGTGGCCCATGGATGCCCAGCCGAGGCTGCCTCATTCTCTTTGTGACTTACTCCTTGCTCTAATCCTGAGTTTGTGGATGTCCATATCAGCAAACACCCTCAGTTTACTGTTGCCTCCCATAGCTTATCATCTTCTGGATGAAGACTGTATATGTTGGCACTTTCTGTCCTGGGTAATTTCTTCCCCAATAGCTTGCAGGCTTAAGAAGAGGTCTTTGATACCAAATGGCTTAGGGTATTTTTTTCTCAAAATTCTGGGCATCAGAAGCAGCCAGTTGAGTGGGACCAAGGCATAAGACTGAAAATCCTGTAGGTGAATTGGATCTGCATCCACAGTTGAGAATCCTTAGCGTAGGGGTCTCTTTTAGGTCCTAAAGCAAATAATCTTGTCCTCTATCTGCAGGCCCACTGCTAGATCTACCGACATGCTCAGGGTGATTAATTCTTAGGAAATTCAGAATACAGCTTAGGTTGTTGGTCTGGGACTCCTGCCACCCTATGAACAACTCCTGTGAACACTGATGCACAATTTCCTTTATGCTGATTCCATAAGTTCCATAAACATTTTTTTTTAAAAAAGACCTGACATCATAAGGAAACCACTTTTAGTTGCCCCATTTCCTGGAGCCTACAGCTGGCAAAATGCCTGGGACAAGGTGTATTTAATTCAAGTCAAAGCAGCATTGTTCAGAGAAGCAGATGGCCCACCTAAGGTGAAAAAATTACTTTCTTGTGGAGAAAGAAGGGCTGTTTATTCACCTCTTCCTCTGCAAAAGTGGGAATGTGTGGAGGCAAAATAAATAAAACACATTATAAATGCATTCCACAGATGAACAGAATGACTGGTGCTGAACAAAGCCATGGGAGGCATCTTCCCACCTCCAGGCAGGCTGTAGGAACATGTCACGCTTGTGTTAAAGCGCCCCAGAACTTGAAAGTCACTCCATCAGACGAACTAATAACCAACATGAAATTGAAGAGACCAACTATCAATAAGCCTCTCTGAGAGCTGGTAACAAAGAGCTGAAAAGATTGGGAATAGTTAAGATGAGCCAGGTATAAGCTCAGAAAAATGACTAAATATGTAACAAAGCAGTAAGAGTTGTGCTCTATCTGAAGAAAAATGGGATTAGTGTGGGTGGAGATGCAGTAGCTAGGTAATCTGCTCTTGTTTAGGAAAGGGGAGGCTAGGCAGTAAGAATTTGTTGTTGATTATCTAATATTTTGCAGAGGAGACACTTTTCCTGGGGGTTGTGTGCAATCACTTGGAAAGCACATTTCACTCAGAAGGCTTTTCCAGTACCTGAATGAAACACCTAGTTAAGTTTGTGCAATTCTTTTGCTCTGAATCCTTGTTCACAAGCAACATTCTAGTTAAGAAGTTGGTCTCCCATGTACCTTGATAATGGGCAGGAGGTATCCCAGATTGGGAAAATAAGTCTGGAGGTCACTGGAAAAATTTATTATATACCTGTCACAAATAAATACATCTGTGTTTTGTTTGATATGTCAGTTTCTTGGTTTGGGGTTTGGTTAGCATGGGTTAGTCCCATGACCTAATCACCCAGCACCACAGACAAAGTCTGCTCTTTGGATGAGCACAGCTGAGTGTCAGACCCCAGGACACTGTGACCCTTCCTCCTTCTGTATTGCCATCCTATGAGGCTCTCCCTAAGCAGCCCCAGTCGTCACTGACATCTGTGCCTCTCTTTAAATTTAATATAAATCATCTCAGAAAGTCATCTTCCTGCTGGTTTCTTTAAAACCAGCAGACGATAATTCTAAATGATCATCTCTGTAATGCATTCTGGTGCCTCACAGGCCTGACCTTAGGAAACAAATTGCTTTTCACACACTGTGACCATATAGTTTCACCATGTAGCAAACTTACAGTTTCCTGCGGTGGTTTTTGCCATCCTCTTCATCTTGAGAGGGTAAGCCATCATGAGGCCACGTAATGACATACAAAGGGTCCTTAAGCAAGGTGTGGGAAGGGAAGGGGTATGCTACAAAGCACAGTTCCTACCCAGACCCCCCGGTGCCCCTTGACCATGTAACTTGGAAAGAGAAGTAATTTGGGTTACATGAAGAAAGGGTAGGGTGTTCTCTTCCACAAGAGCAGAACTAGGATGGTATTTCTTTCTGTCAGCTGTGTTCATGGCAGCTGTGACTAGTGTACCTCCTGGTCCACTCTCCCACCATGAGAGTGAATGTGTGCTTCTGTGGCTTGCCCTGGTGCTCTCATCCCTGACTCTTGTGAAGGTGGGACATCACCACTTCTAGTACTCTCACTTGGTTGCCTCCTTCCTAGGGAGTAAATGGTTGACAGCCTGCACTCCTTGGTGGATACTGCACAATTGTTCACTGTACGGCATTTGTCTATTGGTATTTTGGTGACCAATAGTTTTTGCCCATCTCCAGGGTGAGATGGAAGCAACAGGGGTGCAACTCTGAAAATTATCTACCAGCCTTACATCCCCCAAATTGCCTTGTATCCCTTGGAAAAAATGAATTATCTTCCCTTTATATGCAAAATAGAAACATTAATATTACACTATTGATTTCTTTTTCCACCAATTTGGAGAGTTGGCAGAAGAACTAATAATGATGACTGTAGTAAAGAGTCTCTCAGAATAGTCATTTCATAAATAAAACAGGAGATGCATTCCCTGCAACCGAGATTTATAAAGGTTCTGTGAGGAGGCAAAATGGGGTTTGCAAATCAGGATGTTTATTGCTCTCAGGGGCTATGTCTAATCTCCTGTGAAGTAAGGTTTCAGATGGGCAGAGACTGAGTAATTGGGACAGAGACACATTGTGTAACTCCTTTTTCCTCTTTGTTTCTTGTTGCCCAGGGAGTAGCCTAAGTCTCAAGCTGTACACCAGCTTAACAGATTTAATTTCTGAGTGTCTCATGTTCGTCATGAGAGCTAAGCGTCTCTTGCAAAAAGTGGCCACAGTTAACCATGGCCATTTTATCTGTCTCTGTGCTGATGTTGAATTTATCTGACAGATTCTTACAGGGACATTCTAGTAGCCTTTTCTTTAAAGGAAAAGCAAATTGGCATTTACTGATTACTTACTCTGTAGCCACTTTACTTTTATATCTCATGGCAAATCCATGGAATTGGTATTATTTCCTCTATGTTATGGATGGGATTGAGGCTCAGAGAAACTAAGTAATTTACTTGCCCAAGGTAACAGACAATCTTAAAAACCTGAAACAAACACGTTGTCTTCTGGTCAGTTGCATACTTCTACTTTGAGGAAAAGCAAGGTGGTAATACTGCAGCGCTGGATTTTAGGATTTAAACCCGGGCCTTTTTGGCTCTAAAGCCATTGCTGCTTCCACTGTGCTGTGTTGCAGCACTAACGTACAAGAATCTAGAGAAATGCCACCAAATTACCACCAATAAAATGATGCATAAGAAAACATTTTTTTGAGAAAAGGCTGATGGTCTTGTTGGAGCACCTCCACGCTCCCACAGCAGGCAAGTCTCCTGGATGCCCTTTGAAGGCCAGTGTTTGTGCCGCAGGGGGTGTACTCAGTAGCTAGGAGGGAAGACACGCAGTCTTTGCTTCTCAGTGTATATGAGCAGTGCAGGAATAACAAGAACACTGCCACCCCAAAATCATTCTTCCCGCTTTCTGTCAGTGACCCTAACATTTTCCTAGTTATGGAGGAGTCATCTTTCACTTATCCTATCCGAAGACTCTATTTAAAAAGTTGCCAAATTCGAGAGACTCTGTCAGTGCCACAGCTTACCCATGTCTGCACACTCCCACTGTTGTAATAGCCTCCTACACAATTCCCCACCTTGCTCCTATCACATGGCTGCTAGATGTGTCGGCCTGAGGGACAGCTCCGAGGATCT